ATTGTTATGATTACACATAATTGTATTGTCACCAAAAGCAAAAGTGTATACAAAATTTCAGATTAATCGGTTGACAGGAAGAGGGTGAAATTTGAATTACTAAATTTGACCCAAGAAAGAATAAAGGTGAGCTAAATAAAACCGTTTAAAAAAGGAATAGTTCCAGGTTTCGCATTGCAATTTTCAATATGTGTATCTTCCATCTTATTATTATTTATATAAAATGTTTTAAGGTAGTGTATATAGTTATTCAAGTGATGAAATATTTTTTTAATCGCAATATTATTAATTTTTCCTGTGAATTTAGAGAACATATCATAAGTATATTTTAAATATTTATTAGTATCAAATGTGAACGCATATTCAAATTTCTTATTACTTAAATATAGAAGTTGGTTGAACGCTTCTATTCTCTTATTTAATAGCACCACATTGTTATTAAGCTTAAAGTTTGGAGCACATAGCAGTACATTAGTATGTGTTATTTTTTCGAGCTTACATTTTATAAGATTTACCAATTCGTTGTAGTTTTTAGAAATGACAAAATCTCTTTCACCTATTAAAATGATACAATAGTCTTTTAAAGTGTAATTCATCAGTTTTAAATCAAGGCCTGATAGAAGTTCCGATAATCCTGCATTTGGCAGACAGTAATGACAGATTTTATTATTTGGAAAAGCATTTTCGGCATTTTTTAGAATATTATTTATGTTATTATCACTTATTATACAGATTTTACTGGAATATATTTTGTTTGTATTATTTTTAATTTCAGAAGGGCTATATTTATGTGTATTTTTAATGATATGAGAAGTTCGAGACACTTGGGAAATAGGAACGGTCTCTGTTTCTGGATATGACTCTAAATTCGATGATGTTGGAATATCATCGCTTAATCTTCCGTCCCATTGTAGTGTATTGCACGTTGGTGTATTTGATGGTGTTTTTATTATCTCAGTCTTTAGATTAGAATTTTCTTGCGTGTTTAAAAAATCCAGTTTAGATCTTAGTAAGCTTTTACGTTTTGATTTTGTATTCGGTTTCTTCTTAACTGTACTTGTACATATATGGTTCAGCTTATTTACCTTTAACTTGTACTGATTAATTTGTTCAGCTTGTGTACTATTTTCCAAGAGTAATCTTTCTATTTCATTATCAGCAATTTTTAATTTTTCTTCTAGTTGACATATTTTATTCCTTAATTCATCAACATCGTCATTTGACTTGTGTATTTCAGGATAGCTTCTGTTCATTAGACATGAAGACGTTGAAATAAATGATGAATTTTCTTCATTTTCTGACAGATCGGAAAATGCTTCAAATGAATTTTCAGTTGGGAAAGTAGCCTTACGTGATTTACTTCTAGACGTAACATTATTTATCGGCGTATCGCATATTGTTGCTGAGCTTACATTAACATGCGACATACCCGCGGAATGAGTAGCCATTGTTAAAATATGTATTTTCCCTTGCCCTGCTTGTGACTATGTTGTAAAGGATGTAGTGGAACTAAAATTCAACAATCAATAGTTATTTTAATAACTTGGCAACACTTCTTTAACAAAGATAAAAAAGACTTGTGTTCAAGTCATGCGGTATTGGTTTCTGAACGAAAATTTTTACGTCAATTTTTTTTTTGCCGCTGCTTGTGATTGGTTAATTTCTCCATTGATGAATCATCTGTTATTTGTTTACATTACAATTAGAAAAATTTTGAATTTCTTACTGGTTTTAATTTATAAGATTTCTATTTTATAACTCTTTGAATAAGTAGGTTTCTTAAAGATCACTGTTTAGTCATTTTTGGCACTTAATTACGGTGTTTCACTAATTATTATTAAGTTTATTATATTATTTTCGAGTCAATTTGTCAATACTGGTCAATACACTGTGTTGGTGATATTTAATTTAATACATTGAGTCACATTAAGATAACACTGTCACTAGTGTAACACAATGCACTGAGTATTTTTAAAACTTTCGTAATACTTTTACTTATAAAAAAAAAAAACATTTAAATTTGATATAAATTTGAGGACCGATGTTTACTTTGGCCAGTGTTTGGCCAGTGTTTAGTGACATAATTCAGTACTAATAGAAAATTTTGATGAAAGTAATCCGAGAAGGTTGTATAATACATACTGTTCATTAGTGAATAGAGAATTCAAAGAAAATTTGCCAATAAAACCTAAAGGCATTTATGCTAGGTTTCTATTTAGTGATTGCCAACCGTATAAGAGCAGAGTTCGTTTTTGAAAGTATACAATGACAATCAAAGACTTTTAGAATTTTAGAGTTTTATAACAGCCAAATTACTTTTCTAGCCCTGGTTGAGGCAAGAGAGAGTGCCAGAATCTTATTAACTAAAACCCCTTCGTTCCTTCTGCTCCAGGGCGGAGCCGCGGCACCTTATTGCACTAAACCGGCAACCCGGCTAAACATCGGCCCTGTGGGGCCTAATATGTGGTTGTCTATTGGCTCTTTGAGGCGTACGAGGTACGCTATGCGCCATAAGCTCGAATCTGGTTCTGGTCGAGATCGTCGCTTGATCCGACGCTCGGACTGTAGCTTATTGCGGTGACTGAAGCGTTAGGAGGATAGTTCCCTCACAGAAAGAGGAGACGCGCCTCAAATCCTCTTGCTCTGCACCATGGCCTCGACTAAAGCCGGCCGCGAGAGGTCACCGAGATCTTACCGCTGCTATAAAAGCGTGCCCAGCCCTCGGTTTCAGGGGGACTGTGAGGACTGGGGCGTCTTAACTAACCACTTCTCAAATTAGATGATGACGTCGCGTCGCCTTACCAGCCATATTTTTCAATTATTGTTATTGTTACGTGCCTGACGTCACGTTCCTGACGATGCGGGCTTGGGTTACGGGATTGGATGGAATTAAACACTTATACCGGTTTTCAGACCTTCTATTGAACTTGACTTACAAGTGACAGCGTCCACGGAGTTAGGTTATCGGCCGGTGATTTTTCTTCTTTTTCACCTCTTCCTTTTCTTCCGAATCACTTTGGACTTAGAACTCAACTGCTAGCGGTTTGCCGCAGTACCCCCGGTCAGGTTCTGGAACATTCAATTTCGTTATTCTTTTCGATCGTCATGACTTCAGAACCTTCCAATAATTTTGTCATTCATTTTTTTATTCTCCTTCTCGCTCTTTAATTTTCCATTTCCTTCACCCAAAAGCTTCCAGAAAGTTCAACAAAAATTTCCATCAACTAAAATCTTCATGCTTACGGCGGGACTCGAACTCGGGGTCTCTCTGGTATAATCCACACGCCTTACCGATTACACCAATTCGTGTTGACAATTCACGACGAAATTTACAATCTCTAGGCAACGTTTGACAACCACCCATAGACGTCATGATGTCAATGAAGTTGGAAAAATAGTTTGAACCTCTGCCCTATCCTTGAGCAAATCCATTGTTCCTATGGTTCTTCTCCATATTGGAACAATAGCATATACATAGCTTAAAAACCTCTCTGCACCCATCAGTCAATACCCTATCCTTCCGGTTTTCTCTTCCGCATATGAGGTTATTCACTTTAGGCCAAAGCTGGTTCTGAGTTTGGGCATTTCAAAGTCATCAGTGGACGCCAAGGGTGATTTTGAGCGCACGCTGAGCAATTACTGGCACGGCTGGAATGTATTTTACACGGATGCATCCAAATTGTCCCGAGATGGATGCACAGGAGTGGCAGCATATTACCTGAACTCAAGAATTGCTCTGCTCTCCAAATGTCCCCCTGAAGCCTCCGTGTTCACTGGGGAATGCGTTGGCATTCTGGAGTCCATCAAATTTATTAAATCGCACAACCTCAGCAACTCAGTTATCTTCTCAGATTCTCGAAGCAGTCTACAAGCTCTCGGTCAAGATCAGCTTTATTCCCCGACGCATTGTAGTCTGATCATAGAAATAAAATCTTTACTTTTATCCTGCCAAAGAGACGGACTAAATATTGAGATCGCATGGATTCCTGGCCACTCTGGTATATGCGGTAACGATTGTGCTGACAGATTGGCAAAGTTTGCGGCCGTGAATAACGTTGAACGTCACCATTATATTGTGTATGGGTATGACATACGTGCCGATACTAAACTCAAGCTCTTCGACTCGTGGGCTACAGTTTGGGCGGTCTCCTCTAAGCGGAAAGGAGCTTACTATGCAAGTATCCAGACCGATATCCAGCGGAAACCTTGGTTCTCCAAGCGTAAGAAACTCCCCAAACACACTGTTTCGTCTTTGTGCAGACTCAGACTCGGCCACTGTACTAGCCCGGTATTCCTTGCCAAGATACGCGTACGTGACAGCTCGCTGTGCGAATGCGGTCTTGATGAGGGTACCCTAGACCATATATTTTTCTCATGCCCTCTAAATTACCAGTCCTTTGATCTATATGGAAACCTTCCCAAAATCCAAATCCCACTCCCAATCAACTTCCACTCCCTTCTAACTAATTTTTCTCACAAATTAATTAAGTGACTGTCCAAATTTATGAATGTAAATAAATAAAATGTAGCGGTGTGTAATAATGTAAATATTGTATGTGTTATAATTATTATATATATATATATATATATATATATGTCGGAGGAAGCTGGGAGTTTATTGTTACTTGCATTGCAGTTGATTGTTACGCACATTAATTTTATATATACTATACCGACATATATATATATATATATATGTCGGAGAATATGTATATATATATAATTATCTATTAAGTGTAAGGTAAGTATAGTAACTGTAGGTGATATATACTGTTTATAGATGATATATGTTTACTAACCCAAATGTTTTGTCCTTTTCAGCTACTAACAAGTAAATACTACCACAAAGTTGAAAGTCGACGGTACATTACTCTGCCGTCATCACTCGATACTGGCAGTATAGTCGACAACATAGTATTAGAGACTCAGTTGCCAACAACAACAAAAAAAAAAATTTTCTCAGTAATTTGTAAATAAAACATATTTTCAAGGGAACTTACGGAAGAGCTGACTTTATCTTATTGGCAACAGCCCTCGCTACATCTTGTAGGGGCGGTGCTGTTCCGCCTTCAAGAGCATAGTGAAAACCAACATAGGGCTTAACACCGGCTCCAAGTATTAAAGTGTTGACTGGAGGGACTGAACGATACCTGAAATACATAGAGTGGTAATTTTCTTGGAGCATAACAAATTAAATATTTTGTCCAAAGAAATCCTCACCTAACTATTTAAAATGGAAGTCGACTCATTTTAAGCCATACTATACATGAGCAGCATTGCGCGGCGGATATCTTGCAGCTAACTGGCTACGCGACTATGTGCCTCTTTGCCGTGACTGGGACGGCACGCTCGATTTATTCGCCAGAGATTGCGTAAGTATTGTGTTCGAATTCCGGGTCCAGGCAAAAATATTCAACTCATACAGTGTATACTTTGTCTCACTCCAGACTCGAGACATTGTAGCCAGATTTGAGACTCGACTTTCAGGCGAATGAAAAAGCGCAGCCACCATCTCTGTTGAAGTGCGGATAACGATTTATCTCGATAGCGCAATACCTCGTTGCAACATCGCAACCAGGCTCAAGGGATGTAAGGGGGACAATAACATCTTAGTGCCCCAGTCAACCTCACCTGCTCGCGGTGCATCCTGCTGATTAACGAACGAGGCTCTGACGACCGACTCATGGCGGTATAACCATAAAATGTAGGCGTAGACAAATTCAGCAGACTAGTGTCGGGCAGCAGCGTCACTAGTGTGAGGAGCTACGCCCTGCGATCACCAACCCGCCTGCCCAGCGTGGTGATTATGGGCATTACCCCTAATGGCACGCCTAACAAAACGGCCTCCAGTTCCCGGTCGCCCCACTATTCTTGGCCAAGTCGGCGGTCTTAGTAACGGCGGGGTAGGGGGTGCTAAGAATCTCCGGGCTATGAAAGGCCGACAACACCAACTGACTCTGGCTACGTATAACGGACGCACGCTACGGCTCGATGAACATTTGGCACAGTTAGAGGTGGAGCTAGGAAACGTGAGGTGGCATATCCTGGGGTTATGTGAAGTCCGAAGACAGGGAGAGGATACCGTAACTTTGGAGTCTGGCCACCTTATGTACTACAGGGAAGGAGACCAACCATCACAGGGTGGCGTCGGGTTTTTGGTCCACAGATCTCTGTCAGACAGCGTTGTTGAAGTCTCCAGTGTTTCGGCAAGGGTAGCGTACCTTGTGATCAAACTCACCAAGAGGTATAACCTAAAGGTCATCCAGGTGTACGCACATACCTCGACATACTCGGATGATGAGGTGGAGGAATTGTATGAAGACATTTCCAGGGCCTCACACACCAACCAAAAGGCCCACTTCAACGTTGTCATGGGAGACTTCAATGCTAAACTGGGAGTACAGACTAGCGGCGAGTCGGTAGTAGGAGCACATGGTTTTGGAAGCAGGAACCATAGGGGGCCAATGCTCGTTAACTTCCTGGAAAAAAGGGGCTATTTTTGATGAACTCCTTCTTTAAAAAGTAGCCCCAACGGAAGTGGAGGTGGCGGAGCCCCGACGCTATGACAAAAAATGAAATAGACTTCATTATGACGGACAAGAGACGAATATTTAGAGATGTCTCAGTGATCAATAGGTTTAATACCGGAAGTGATCACCGACTTGTGCGAGGCACTCTAAACATCAAATATGACTCCGAGCGTGTCCGTCTCATGAAGTCTACGCTCCGACCAAACTTGCTCCAAGCCATGGTTGGGTCAGAAACATTTCAGTTAAAACTGGAAAACCGATTTGCTGCCTTGGAAACCACAAATGACATTGATATCGACCAGGAACTTGACCAAACAGTAGAGATCCTCCGAGACGAAGGGACGAGATTATGGCGGAAGCAGAATACCGGCAGGGGCGCCAAGCTTTCGGGAGAGTGTCTACAGGTTATGGAGAGGCGACGTAACAACCCATCAGTCGCTTCGTCAGATCTTAATAAAAAGATCTCAAAGCTGATAAGACGTGATCTCCGAAGCGCCAATACCCGCGTATATAAAAGAAGCGATTGAGCGAAACCGGGGGTCAAAAGTCTTCAGCCAGAAATTAAATCGAAGCCATCTGACGAAGTTGACTACACCGGATGGTAATATCGTCTCTTCTAAGCCGGAAATTCTCGGGGAAGTTCGGCGCTTTTACGGAGATCTGTACACCTCAAAAGCACCGCGTCCATATCCAGACTCGGGGGATCCTAGGGCTACGCTTATCCGCCACTTTACCGAAGACATGCCAGAGATCAGCCAAGACGAGATTGCGTTGGCTTTGGGGCAGCTTAAAAATGGAAAAGCCCCCGGAGAGGATGGAATTACAACGGAGCTCCTAAAAGCCGGTGGAAAGCCAGTGCTTGAGCGACTTAAACGCTTGTTTGATTCCGTTCTATTCTCGGGAAGAACTCCAAGGGCGTGGAGCAAAAGTGTCGTCATTATGTTCTTCAAAAAGGGAGACAAAACCCTTCTGAAGAACTATCGACCTATTTTTCTTCTGAACCACGTCTATAAGCTGTTTTCTAGGGTCATAACAAATCGTCTCGCGCGAAGACTCGACGAGTTTCAGCCCCCTGAACAGGCCGGGTTCTGAGAGGGATATGGTACCGTGGACCACATACATACAGTGAGGCAGATTGTGCAGAAAACCGAAGAGTATAATCTTCCCTTATGCCTGGCGTTTGTGGACTACGAGAAAGCCTTTGATACTATCGAAACCTGGGCTGTTCTGGAGTCCTTGCAACGGTGCCAAGTCGACTGGCGGTATGTTCAAGTGTTGAGAGATCTATATGATGCTGCGACTATGGTGGTTCAAGTACAGAACCAGCAGTCTGAACCTGTCCACCTGCATCGGGGTGTAAGACAGGGGGACGTTATTTCCCCCAAACTGTTTACTAATGCTTTGGAGGATGTGTTCAAGACGCTGCGCTGGAAAGGCCGGGGCCTAAATATTAACGGCAAGTATCTCTCACACTTGAGATTCGCAGATGATATTGTAATCGTGGCTGAAACCGTGCAGGACTTACAATGTATGCTGAACGGCCTGGCTGATTCCTCTGCTCGCATCGGACTCCGGATGAGCCTACAAAAAACGAAGGTCATGTTCAATGAACATGTTCTCCCGGAGCCGATCACCATCAATGGATCTCCTCTCGAGGTTGTTCAAGAGTACGTCTACCTCGGGCAAACTATCCAGTTCGGTAGAAACAACTTCGAGAGGGAGGCTCGTAGGAGGATACAGCTTGGCTGGGCAGCATATAGGAAACTCAGTCGGGTATTCTCGTCAAAGATACCGCAAAGCCTGAAGACAAAAGTCTTCAATGAGTGCGTCCTACCAGTGATGACATACGGAGCTGAGACGTGGACACTTACAGTGCGACTGATCCACCAATTTAAAGTCACGCAGCGAGCTATGGAAAGGGCTATGCTTGAAGTCTCTCTGAAGGATCGTATTCGAAACGAGGTGATCCGACAGATAACTAAAGTTATCGACATAGCCCAAAGGATTAGCAAACTGAAGTGGCAGTGGGCAGGTCAGATCTGTCGAAGAACCGATGATCGCTGGAGTAAACGTGTTCTAGAGTGGAGACCACGTCTAGGCAAACGTAGTGTAGGGCGCCCTCCTGCTAGGTGGACTGACGACCTCCGCAGGGTGGCTGGCAGTGGTTGGATGAGAAGAGCTGAACATCGAGCTCAGTGGCGTGCAATTGGGGAGGCCTATGTCCAGCAGTGGACGACAACAGGCTGATGATGATGATGAACCAGGCTCAAGGAACACTGTGAGCGCGATATGCAACATGGTTTTTGCGTCCACCATTCGAACAGAACACCTACACAGTCGCGGGCGACTGAATCGAATCGAATATGTGCTGTCGCAGTCAGAAGAGAGTGCCCACAAGTCAAGGAAAAGAGTGGACACGGTGTCATGGAAGGCTAGGCTAAGCACACCAACTCGAGAAGCCAATTAGCTGTGTGATGTTCTCCGCGTCATTTAACACAACGCTGCTCATAAATCATAAGCATTTATCATACAAATACATGTATTTTCATTGTCATTTAAAATAACTAACTTTTTTCAATTGACTAGGTACCCACATTCCATAAATTAATTATGATTTATTAATATTTTAATGACTACCTAATTGGATTTACAAAGTTTATTTTTATTATAATAGTAACAGTACTTTAATAAAATAAAGAAACTAACAAAAAATAAAACAGAAGATAAATTACCAAACATCATATCCTCCATAAGTGGATGCTGCTAGCAAATGATCATAAGTGTTCTTTAGGTCTAATCCCACAACAGAAGCATCATTTATAACTTCCTGTTCAGAGAATGTCCATTTTCGTATATTGATACTACGACTGTCAACTGAATAGTCCCCTTGGATACCAGCTCTCACTACAGAAATAAATTAAAGTAATTAAAATTCTATTTGTTGCAGCTCATCATTGTCATATTTGTAGTATATGATTTCAATCATACCTCGAGCTAGTTGTGCCTTGGCATGTCTAAGTGTTTGATACAGGCTTGAACCTGTGACAATACACTCACAAGTTGAAAAGAGTATGTGTATATCATCAGGCAAGGTTCCATAAGTTCCAGTATGGCAAGAAATTTTCATAACTGGGCAGTCATCTAATTTTTCTAGCAAAAGCAAATGTCCTGTGTCAGTATAAAAACCAACACTCCCATTTTTAAAACCAACTATAATACAAAACCAATCAGGTCCATTCTGAAATAGTATATAGAGGGAATCAGATATAAAGATATCACATAAGTACAAGCTGTAGCACCACTGTCACAAAATTAAAGCTATAGACTTAAGTTTTAGTATTGTGACTGAAGAAATGACAAATAAAATATTTTTTAGATTTCAAATTTTGTTTAGGTGTGTATACAACTTAGCTAGTACTTAAATTCTATTTATATTTTTACTGACCATATATTTTACCTGAGACGATTGCTGTGATGGGCAAATAGGTAATGCTAAAACAGCTGTGATGTCTGAAGGTAATGTTCCACTCCATGAGATAATGAATGTGCGACTACTTGTAAGGCTAATCCATTGATTGGTTAATAAACAAAGACGGTTCTTATACCCAACTGACAATAAACTGCCACACGAAGACAAAGATATTGTACACAGTGGAAGCCAATTTTCATCTGAAACTTGAAATACAGTTAAATTGCACGACAACTTTGACAATTTTTATGATTACTACGAACTAATTTGATACCTTCTTTTTCTGATATAAACAAAGCTCTTCCCAAGCTTGATAAATCGCCACAATCAGCTATTTGTTCCACTTGACAAGACATTCTAAAAATATTGTATTATTTTTCTTTATTTAACTCTAGTTTCATTAGTAACAGCGCACAGAGTACACTACAGTGTGCCTAGCACGAACATTATCGAGAAAGTATTCGTATCGAGATCGAAAGCATTTTCTATGGGATTTGTACAGCGCCCCTACCGTGCGTAAAAGGAACTAAAAATCGCAAGCACGAATGATTTTGACAACTATCGTATAGTAATCGTATCGTGTTGCTATCGAAACTTAGAACATTTTGACACAAATTGGAAGCACGAACGATCTTTTGACGTATAGTATCGTAAGTTTCGAAGGCTGGCTATCGAAAACTGTCGAAACATTTGTCACTAAGAATTTGACGGTGAGAAAGGTTTCGAAATATTTCAATCGTGTTTTAAATAATATATTATAATGTTTGTGAGTATTCTTTACGAGTATAACATCATGCAAAACCGCCCCTGTACGAACCAAGTTGGACAAATAGTTTATTTGCGGCTATTTTACTTGGAGATGAAGAGTCAAAAGAAACTTCGTAAGTACCTAAGTACCTATTCAAGTTATGTTTCACTTAATATAGACATATGTATTCAAGAAAATAATATTGATTGATTATTATAGAGAAAAATTATATATGATTATTCTAGTAAATAATATATTATACATATATGATTATTCTAGAGAAATCGTGTGCCGAGCTAAATTCAGAAATATATCTAATCCAAAGGATATCACTGAAACTTAGTTTAGAAATACTAGGTACCGCCTAAATAAAGAAGCTTTCAAGTGCTTCTGTGAGCAACTCCAACAAAAACTAACCTTATAATGCTAAAATGAAATCAATAGGAGTCGAGCAGCAGGTGAAACCGCGAGGAAGTAGCTAGTATAAATTAGGTTTTCTAATAAGTATTTTTTTACAGGTGATTCTGGCTACCCACATCGACCATGGCTACTGACGTTTACTCATTTTGGATGCGGTAAAGGGAACTCGTGGCCCGCACGATATACTGCAGTAAAAGAAAGAAGAGGCGATGCTTGTGCAAAGACCGCACTCTGCATTATGCTCCCGAAAAATGTGTTTGACAACGGCTTGCTGCGTGTTGCATAATTTGGTCATAAATTTCAATGTGCCTGAGCAACAGGTAGATACAATAACAGCTGCAACAACAGCATCAAGACTTGTCTCATACCTCATCTTCTGTTATGAGACATGAAAATGATAGAAGCGATGATTTGATAAGTGAAAGGGCTTTAAGGAATATTCTGGTACAGCAAATAAATATACTACACAGATGACCTAAGTGTTTTATTATTATACATTTCCAAAACATCTTACACACTAATCTAACTTAAAAACTATTCTTACCTATGTTTTTATAATAGGTAACTATGAGAGTGAGACATTTTAAATTCAATTTTAACCTAATCTTTCCTCATTCCAAAATGTAGTAATTTAAAATAAAATATGTAAATATACATTAATCATCTTTTTAACTAGATTATATTTTAATACATTTATTGCCTCTCTCATAAGTTCCAGCCACTGAGCCTGTAAAAGGAGCTCTGCATCTCTCTGTCTTACTCTTCATTCTTCTCGTCGTAATTCCAAACGCTTTTGTTCCATTATATCATATGTTTCCTCACGCTCCCTAGCAAACTCCCTAGGTTTCTTATCATTCTCTAAACACAATTTGATTAAACTCCCTTTAGATTTTTTTTCGGTCGAAGCTTCCAGCATTCCTTTTCTAATGGAGGATTGGCGACTGGTGGTGTCGGTGAACGGCTGGCTTCATGGGTAGGGGTACTGCGGAGTGGTCGGAACACTGAAGGCTCTCTGCTTGTCACTGGCATATTCCATGAAATCCACCATTAATTCGTATTGGAGCAGAGTGCTCCTCATTTTAAAATAAATTTAAACTAACCGCATATTAAGATAGCCGCATAATTATCTACATTCTTTGTTTTGTTTGTTAAAAAACAATACGTCAATAGCCGTCAAACGTCACCTTTGTCAAAAGAACGTTCGGAAATCGTAAATTATGTTACGAAATTTAAATAACCAAATAATATTTTTTTCATAGATAAAGTCATTTTATATACTTCTTGACTCGTTTTAAGAATTATTTCACGTAATTAATATTTTTTCATTTAAATATAATACCATAAAAGGTGTAGACGAAGGTTGAAATATGTTTAAAATTAATTTTAGTTTTCAGACGAAATCTTTATGTTAAATTATGTTCAAGAATTCATTCAATTCGTTCACTTGGGTGCTTCTCTAGCTTACATTAGCATGACGTCACTAACGAATTCGATTCGAGCTCTCGCTAGACGATACGATAGGCTTCGTGCTGCGACATTCCGTTTTCGTTACATGAAGTATCGACGTCTCGATAAGTTAACGTTACGATTACGATAGTCATTCGTGCTAGGCACTCAGTGTTACGGTTTCAACTATAAACGAAAGTTAAAATAATAACTATTCAGACAAGATCAAACAAAAACCAAAGTTGATTCCAGAGTGCCTAGCACGAATGACTATCGTAATCGTAACGTTAACGTATCGAGACGTCGATACTTCATGTGACGAAAACGGATTGTCGCAGCACGAAGCCTATCGTATCGTCTAGCGAGAGCTCGAATCGAATTCGTTAGTGACGTCATGCTAATGTAAGCTAGAGAAGCACCCAAGTGAACGAATTGAATGAATTCTTGAACATAATTTGACATAAAGATTTCGTCTGAAAACTAAAATAAATTTTAAACATATTTCAACCTTCGTCTACACCTTTTATGATATTATATTTTAATGAAAAAATATTAATTACGTGAGATAATTCTTAAAACGAGTCAAGAAGTATATAAAATGACTTGTATCTATGAAAAAAATATTATTTGGTTATTTAAATTTTGTAACATAATTTACGATTTCCGAACGTTCTTTTGACAAAGGTGACATTTGACGGCTATTGACGTATTTTTTTTAACAAACAAAACAAAGAAAGTAGATAATTATAAATGCGACTTTCTTATTCTCCGGTTAGTTTAAATTGATTTTAAAATGAGGAGGACTGGGCTCCAATACGAATTAATGGTGGATTTCATGGAATATGCCAGTGATAAGCAGCGAGCCTTCAGTGTTCCGGAGTTTAATCAAATTGTGTTTAGAGAATGATAAGAAACCTAAGGAGTTTGCTAGGGAGCGTGAGGAAACATATGAAATAATGGAACAAGAGTGTTCGGAATTACGACGAGAAGAATGAAGAGTAAGACAGAGAGATGCAGAGCTCCTTTTACAGGCTCAGTGGCTGGAACTTATGAGAGAGGCAATAAATGTATTAAAATATAATCTAGTTAAAAAGATGATTAATGTATATTTACATATTTTATTTTAAATTACTACATTTTGGAATGAGGAAAGATTAGGTTAAAATTGAATTTAAAATGTCTCACTATAGTTACCTATTATAAGAACATAGGTTAGAATAGTTTTTAATTAAGATTAGTGTGTAAGATGTTTTGGAAATGTATAATAATAAAACACTTGGGTCATCTGTGTAGTATATTTATTTGCTGTACCAGAATATTACTTAAAGCCCTTTCACTTATCAAATCATCGCTTCTATCATTTTCATGTCTCATATCAGAAGATGAGGTATGAGACAAGTCTTGATGTTCAGCTGTTGTTGTATCTACCTGTGGCTCAGGCACATTGAAATTTATGACCAAATTATGCAACACGCAGCAAGCCGTTGTCAAACATGGAGCATAATGCAGAGTGCGGTCTTAGCACAAGCATCGCCTCTTCTTTCTTTTACTGCAGTATATCGTGCGGGCCACGAGGTCGCTGTGGGTAGCCAGAATCACCTGTAAAAAAATACTTATTAGAAAACCTAATTTATACTAGTTACTTCCTCGCAGTTTCACCCGCTGCTCGACTCATATTGATTTCATTTTAGCATTATAAGGTTAGTTTTTGTAGGAGTTGCTCACAGAAGCACTTGAAAGCTTCTTTATTTAGGCGGTACCTAGTATTTCTAAACTACGTTTAAGTGATATCCTTTGGATTAGATATATTTCTGAATTTAGCTCGGCACACGATTTCTCTAGAATAATCATATATGTATAATATATTATTTACTAGAATAATCATATATAATATTTCTCTATAATAATCAATCAATATTATTTTCTTGAATACATATGTCTATATTAAGTGAAACATAACTTGAATAGGTAGGTACTTAGGTACTTACGAAGTTTCTTTTGACTCTTCATCTCCAAGTAAAATAGCTGCAAATAAAATATTTGTCCAACTTGGTTCGTACAGCGGCGGTTTTGCATGATGTTATACTCGTAAAGAATACTCAAAAACCTTATAATATATTATTTAAAACACGATTGAAATATTTCGAAACCTTTCTCACCGTCAAATTCTTAGTGACAAATGTTTCGACAGTTTTCGATAGCCAGCCTTCGAAACTTGCGTTACGATACGTTAAAAGATCGTTCGTGCTTCCAATTTGTGTCAAAATGTTCTAAGTTTCGATAGCAACACGATACGATTACTATACGATAGTTGTCAAAATCATTCGTGCTTGCGATTTTTAGTTCCTTTTACGCACGGTAGGGGCGCTGTACAAATCCCATAGAAAATGCTTTCGATCTCGATACGAATACTTTCTCGATAATGTTCGTGCTAGGCACACAGGGGCTTCAAACTTAGAATAAAAAACTGGGGACAGTAATGGATACATTGATACAAAATGACGAAGTCTGACGTAGCCCATGTTCAAAATGAGTTTTAATGTGTTTTTAAATTTGTCGGGTTACATCGTGACGTAGACGGATGATTTTTCGCTGTAGATCCAATAGATGGCGTTAGAGAATGATAATGAAAATAATGCTGTGTATGCATGCACACACACAAAGAAGAATGTCTGCTGATAGCTCGCTTGCACCGGTTATTTTGCGATATTTTGTTTGTGATCTCCTTTTTGTGTTTCGTTCTGAATTTCTCGTCGAGTTGAGCTTACGTTCCTCCGAGTAA